TTACCCACAGAATCAGTAGTAAAAAAAAATTGAATCCCATCACTGGATTTATCCATGGAACAACTGCAGTGAATCAGTCAGTACACCTGATAAGGAAGAAACAGTGCTGTTCTGTGTGCAGATATGGGGTAACCCAAAAAGATACAATAATGACACAGCTTGGTTAAATGAGATGAATAAAAATAAAAAAGCACTTGAAATGAAAGTAGTAGTAATAACAATAGAAACTGTAGAGTAATGTGTAAGAAAGATCAAGAATTGGTCAGAATTAAGTGAAGATGAACTGCATGTTTTTGGTTGAAACATCTAACTGATCCACTTCTGGGAAGATGGCCAACTGAAATACACAACCAGGGAGGGATCTCTGAAGGATTTTCCCCTGGAAAATCTTTTCAATTGAAAGGACTGGCATTCCTTCAGTTTTCTTGACCCATGGTCAGAGTGAGTCAAAGAACTTATTTATTTATTTTATTTGTCAAGCATGTATTAGATAACAGATATAATTAAAACATGATTATGATTACATGAAATGGGTATGAATAAAAGGGGACATTAGGACAGGGATGGTAGGCCCATTGGTGCGCTTATGCACATCCCTTGGAATCATCCAAATACAGCTGAAACCTGGCAAATGGCTTCTGGAGTTTGACTCCAAAGCTGTGTGCATGCCAAAAGCTGGGGGGAGGGGCTACAATCTGTTCAGGGTTGAAGAAGCCACCATTTTGAAATTCACCTTTCAAATGGACAGTAAGTTGTGTCTTTCTCTTCTTAATCACCTTCAAGAACTGTTCATCTTTTCTAAGTCAAGTTGAAAAGAGGCTCTGTTTAGTCACAGCTTGCTACACTTTTTTGAAAAGCTGCACCATTTTAGGAATTTCTTTTTGTGTTAAATAATAAGAAAGAAGGTTGGTAAGGCAAGGCAAAATAAGGAAATGTGGAGAAGGGGAAACAAGCCTTGGAGCCCTTTCGGGTTCCTTCAGCCTTGTCCTTTGGCTTGGGGCTGTAATAGGAAGCCATCTAATCTGGGGCTGCTGGGCTTAGAGAGTGTGACGGCCTGCAAGCCATCTCAACTCTCCTGACAGCACAGTTATCATTTTGCGATTTAGCCATTTTTAACTCCGGTGCTGTTATTCCAGAGTTACCACCAATTACTCTGCAGCCTTTCCTGTCAGTTTCCTATCTAAATCGACTCTCCCTACCTGCCTGTCCCTCTGCTGATCTTTGCTGCAGTCTTCTAGCCCTTTTAATGCTACCGTGATTAATTTCGGCATCTGCAACGGCCATTTGAAGCCACTGAGAGCCTCACCAAGCCAAAGTGCAGGGAAGTGGTGTGGATGGTGTTTCAACATACCTCCCGCAACCAGTACCTCAGAACATTGTAGATCGGCCCTCAGCTGATCTGACATCCGACGGCCTGGGCCGAAGGCCCGACCACACTGCCTTTGACAGCTGTCAAAATGGTAGACTGGTTCCTTTTTGCGATAGTATTCAGGATTGGTGATTTTTTTCCTATTTTCTGAATTAATTCTTTAAGATTTTGGGATTTTACTAGGAGAAGACATTAACATGTTGTCCAGCTAGCTGACTGAGTCAATTTCTGGGAGGTCCCTAGCAACAGAGGAAGTGTCCTCAGAATTTTGACAGACTCTGTCCAATCAGCAGCGGAGACTGATCACCCAATTCTGAATGCTATCTCCACCACAATGGAGAAAGGGATGGATTTTATAGTAGATTTACCTGAGAGTGGGAGGCACACAGTCATTTGGACTGCAGTGGATTTATTTTCCAAACAAGCTCATTTTGTTACATGCCCAGGACTACCATCAGCCAGGAAGTTATCCAAAATGTTTGTGAATCATATATATAGATTGCATGGAGTGCCTCGTACAATCATTTCAGATGGAGGGGTTCAGTTTACTGCAAAATTCTGGAGAGAATTTATAAAAGCAATTGGATCCTCTCAAGGTCTAAGCTCAGGATTTCATGCAGAAACTAATGGCTTAGGTGAAAATACTAACCAAATTATTGGACAATATTTAAGATGTTATGTAAATTATCAACAAATTAACTGGGCTGAATTGCTGCCATTTGCAGAGGTTGCTTATAATAATGCTGTACATGGCAGTGCTGGGTTAACACCTTAACAAATTAATACTGGAATAGAGTTTGTTCCCATGCCTGAATTGCTGAGGGACCCCCGCCATCCATGTCAGTAACTGAATGGATGACCGCAATTAAGGAAACACAAAAGGCTTTGAATAAGGCAGCGCAAATCCAAAAGATACAAGCTAACAAACATCATTCCCAGCAGCTACAATTTAAAGTGGGGGATAAAGTTTATTTGTCAACTAAATATTTGTAGTTAAACTTACCTTCTAGGAAATTAAGTCCAAAATTTATAGGGCCTTTTTAGATAATTAAAGTAATAAACCCAATAACTGTGAAACTCAATCTCCCTAAGTTATTGGGGAAAGTACATCTGGTGTTTCATAGTAGTTTATTAAAGCTGGTTGTTGATGCTTCATTGAGGCCAGTAGAACGTGTAGCTCCGAAGCCTTTGTTCATTACAGGGCATGGACATTATGAGATTAAGAAAATTTTGGATTCTAGGATTTTCAGAGGGAAGTTACAATATTTAATTTATTAGAAAAGTTATCCAATTTCACAAGCGACTTGGCTTAATAGCTGGAAAGTTAAGGCTGATAGATTGGTGGGAAAATTATATGAAAAATATCCACATAAGCCTAAGGCAAATTCTGTGGGTGGCAGAGAAGGTTAAAATGAGCAATATATGATTGTGTTTAACCTAATTTCAATCTTTGTGTATTTTATGTCATTGCAGGGGTTTCTTTTCAAATGAGGGAGGGCAGCCTGTCAAGCCTAAAATTGACATATGTATAGCCATTTTAGTTAGGCTTAGTATATATCCTTTTTCTTACTTTCTCTTTGGAGGTCATGAGGAAAGGGTTGCCACATTCCTACGGGGAGAGGAGTGGAAATAGGGAGAGTTGTTTAAGCTAGGTGATTCTTCTTCCCATGGGAAAACGAACTGACCATGTTCAAGCCCCTTTTGGTGGAGATTTTGACATCAAGCTATGTTAAATTACATCTATTGGAGAATGTAACTTTTGGGGGTTGTTTCTAACTTCTGATATTGTGGGATAATTCCAGGTTGTGTCAGATCCGAAATTACCATGGACTTTTCCAATTTGATGCTTTCCTAAATAAAATAAATTGTTTTAGAAGATGGACTTTGCTCTTTTCTTTTTAAATGGATTTCATCACTTGGAAACCTGACATTATTCCAGATCATGACACCTAAGGAAATGAAAAAGCTACGGCACTATATAGACACAAACCTAACCAGAGGGTTCATCCAACCTGCAAAATCCAGAGTGGCTGCTCCTGTACTATTTAAAGAAAAAAAAAGATGGGAGGTGTGCTTATTTGCGGATTTTAAATCTTTAAATGCTGTGAGTATTCACAACACATACTCCCTACCGCTCATGAGAGACATGTTAGGACACTTAGCAAAAGGGAAAATGTTCACCAAATTAGATCTCTGAGAAGCGTATCACCGAATTCGCATCAGAGGAGAAGAGGGGAAGACTGCTTTCAATTGTGGGGGTTGTTTTGGGGTTTCTGAGTCTGTGATTCTAACTTCTGATATTGTGGGGTAATTCAAGTTGTATCAGATCTGGAATTACCATGGACTTTGCCAATTTGATGCTTTCCTAAATAAAAGAAATTGTTTTGGAAGATGCTCTTTTCTTTTTAAATGGATTTCATCACTTGAAAACCTGATATTTCTTTCTGCGCGAACTCAGAAAGCTCAAACTGCCCAAGGAGTTGCTGATACAGTTCTACAGAGGAATTATTAAGTCTGTCATCTGAACCTCTATAACTGTCTGGTTTGGTTATGCTACCCAATAAGACAGACACAGATTTCAGAGGAAAATTAGGACAGCAGAAAAAATAATTACTACTAACCTGCCTTCCATTGAGGACCTGTATACTGCAAAAGTCAAAAAGAGGGCTGTGAAAATATTTATAGACCCCTCACATCCTGGACATAAATTGTTTCAACTCTTACCCTCAAAACAATGCTGTAGAGCACTGCAAACCAGAACAACTAGACAAAGTTTTTCCCAAACTCCATCACTCTGCTAAACAAATAATTCCTTCAACACTGTCCAACTATGAACTAAATCTGCATTACTATTAATCTTCTCATCATTCCTATCCCCCATCCCCTCCCACTTGTGACTGTATGACTATAACTTTGTTGCTTGTATCCTTATGATTTATATTGACTGTTTCCTAGTATGATTTGATAGCTTATTTATACCCTATGACTATCATTAAGTGTTGTACCTTATGATTCTTGACGAATGTATCTTTTCTTTTTATGTACACTGAGAGCATATGCACCAAGACAAATTCCTTGGGTGTCTAATCACACTTGGCCAATAAAGAATTAATTAATTACTTCACAATGTTCTGAATGGAACAATTTAAAGCAATCAAAAAGGAACTCTAGTCACCTATACCCAAACTACTGAGGAAAGAGCCAGATCATTTAAAGTCTGGGGCCCATAACATGTCAGTGGGAAAGTTGTTCTAGAGAACTGTGACAACCACTGAAATGTAGGTGTTCTTTTCCTTAAAAAGTATGCTTTAAGTCTAAAAAGGGAAGGTTGGATATTTAGTGATTTTTTTCTAGGTCAGCTGGATAAAGAAATGGTCTCTTGATATGAGGGGTTCCTTCTGAGCCAATAGAACCTTCCCTGTACAGTATCAAACTGGCATTTACCACTCAATGCCTCTTCTCTAACCAACCAGAAGCAGAACAGATCTAAAATATGAATGGCTATAACCACAGTACCAAAGACACTATTCACTTCTTTGGGATTCACAGGTTTAAACTCCTTCAAATGATATTGCAAGACAGATGGAAGGTTTGTCAATACTAAGAAAGAAACATCAATATTATTACCTACCAGTAATGGTGCCAGCATCTCTGTATTCCCTGCAGTCTGACACATTGTTTTCCACACCTTCACTTACATAATGCTCTTCATGAATGCCTGTGCTACAGGCTAGGACTGCATGATTAGTTGTCTCAGGATAGGGCACAACAGCTGCCAAAGAATAATCGTTCAAAACTGTGGCGTCCAGTTTGGCAAGTTTCACAGCAAAGTGCCTACTGCCATCAGAGGGCCAAAGCAGGAGACTGTATCCGGCAGAGATTGGCAATGCAATCTTCCCTCTGTTGGCTTCTTTGATGGATCTGTAATACATATACCAAGGAAGGGAAATTTAAGTAGATAAAACACATCTCTAAAAATTCTTGCTTTTTAGTAGTAAACCCAAGGTAAAATATTTTCTAAATATAACAGGCAACTGCAAAGCAGCATAAAATAGTCTCTATTTTACTTCTAGATATTTTTAAAGATCTGTACATAGAAACAAATTCAGAAAGATAAAAACTGGGAATACAGTCAGAATTTCTGGAGATCACCAGTCACCATGAAAGGTCTCTGCAGCTAATAACAGATCTCTGATTTGATCTGGAGCTCTGTTATCGGCTGCAGAGACCTTTCCTGAAGGGCCTCTGATGGCAAAATGGAGCCCGGGGCAACATGTGCTTCAATCCGGACCTTGTTTCTTGGCTGCAGAGGCATTTCCAGAAGGCCTTTGACAGCAAAATGAGGCCAGGGACACTGTGCATGTCAATTCACAGCCTGTTTCTCTGACAACGAAATGGAGGTTGGGGACATCACGCACAAGCAGCAACAAGTAGCCAAAGAAGTGGACTGGCAAGGCAAGGCAGGTGTCAGGGTGTGCAAGGCCTGATAAGTAGGGCAGCTCCACCTCCATCCTAACTTATTTTTTACCTATGTGCCTCACCCCATGCACCCCGGAGTGGGTGGGGTCTTAATTGTGAGAGTTTGCAGCAGAAATTCAAGTCTAGAAAACACAGAGATGACTGATTCAGCAGGATAATTAACATCTTTATAAACATAACATGAGTAAAGTTTACGATACCAATTGTAGATTCTTTCAACGTAACATAAGCAAAAATACAAGCAGCAGCTCAGTGGACTCAGAACATATATCAGTTACAGCAAGCAAGCAAGTTAGTTTCAGTTTAGAGCTGAGAGCAGAGACTAGAGCCACACTCAGGCCACTTCTGGTTTCACTTTCCAAATCAGCTCCGTTTGGCTGGTCAGTTGCCAAGCCTATTCATTGGCTGACTTCGTTACTAAGCTCTATTCCACTTCATGAATATACTCTGATATTAATTAGAGCTTATTTTGGGAGTAGGGCTTATATTGGGTGCACGTGTAAAAATAAAGCTAGGGCTTTTCTTTCGGGGTAGGTCATATTTTCAGAGAAACAGTAATTCTTAGATATTTTATAGTTTACACTGTGTAATACTCTATTTATGTAAGAATCTCACTTTGACATAATCTTAAATATCCTTAAACCATTAAATGCAATCTCCAACTGATCAAGTTTCATATAGAGAATGCTACTTAAATTCTTTCAATAGTCATTACTCAGATAAGTTTCTGCTCATAGTATTTCTATTGGGTTATACTATAACTAAGCAGTGTACATGGAACAATATTGAAAATAAGAATTTTTAAGATTACTGCATAAACATGGCAATTCTTGTATTGTCACTCCCTATTACCAGAATTATATTTTCCTCGTCCTCCAAAATTCTATTAGCAGTACCATGCTAGGATCTTCTTTATGTCAACCTTAATCAATACTATTTACTTTGTTTTTATGACTTATAGCCACTGTTTTTTAGAAACTGAAGGAAGCTTACACAGGGATTAATCTCCCCCTCCACCCACTGCAATTTCCACATCCTATCAAGTAGGTTAAACTGAAAGAGAATAATCGATCCAAAGAAGCCCAGTCTGTTGCATGACTAAGGGCAAACTTGATTCTAGGACTCCCCGCCATCCCCCTGGCTCCAAAATCCTATTCTAATATGCCATCATTATGCTATATCTTAGGAGAATTAGTGTTGCTGTGTCAAAGATTTGTGGTAAAATAGAAGTGGACACAATGGCCTAACTGTATGTCCTAAAAGAGAACTTTTTTTTATCATTTCACCTTTTTGTCAAAGAATAAAAGAATCATGATAAATAAGTTGAGGGCCCATCTTTTGAATTCATATCACACACAGACCAACCAGATATTGATACTAAAGATAAATATCCATACAATTTTTTTAATCACCTTTTCATCAGTACCTGTCAAATCTTTTCTAAATCAGTCAATTTATCAAAAAATCCCTCTGTTTTAGAATCTTCATCATACCTTGAATGTATTTGTGCATATGAAAACCAATTCATCTTTATACCTTGTTCCTCTAGATTTTGTATAGGTTTGAGTTCACCCTTTTCATTCAATATTTCACCATATCTAACTGTTTGTTCCTTCTTATAAATTATAGGATAGGAAAATGCTTCAATGGTCGATAACCAAACTGGAATTTTCAAATAACACTGTCTTTTGATCTTTTCCCAATTTAGTTACTAATTTATAATGTCTTCTAAAATAACCCTGTGTTTTGGAGAGGGGAGGAGCTGGCGTTGCTACGGTACGGTCTGCAATCGAGCTCCAAGATTGCAGCCGATAACTTCGCCCCTGGCCGGTCCAAATGGACCTAAACCGTCTCATAGAGACGGTGATAGCGAAGGGCACATCCTGGGGATCCCAGGGATACCGCAAAGTCCCTGGTTGATTCAGGAGAAGTCCCTTTTGCTGGCGGCAGAGGCAGCCCCAAAGCTGCTGAAGTTGGGACAGCTCCGGAAAGGAAGAGACAGAAAGAGAAAGTGTGTCGGCTGGGTGAGAACCTTTTTTTTTATTAATATTTTGAGACTTGAAAGGACACTCTAAGTATAAGAAGAAATCTGTAAGATTTTTGACAAAATTGAATAAGTGGCAATTTTTAAAGGGAGATGTCAAAGTGAGGCTTGGCTTTTTTTTTCTTTACTTTTTTTTACTGGACTTTATCGTGACTTAGCAGTTAACTGGACTGAATTTTCCTTTATATATATTCTTTTTTTCTCTTCTCCTTCTTGATTTTTAAATTTTTTAGATTAGAGGCTCCCTTTACTTACTTCTCTCCCTCCCTCCCTCCCTCCCTCCCTCCCTCCATCTATCTATCTATCTATCTATCTATCTATCTATGTTTTCTGAGGTTCTCGCGGGTATTTGAATGTGGATCTTTGGTTGTTCGGGTTTTCTCCCGCGTAAGATTCAAAGTATCTAGGCAACGTTTCGATGAAGTCTCATTCATCATCATCAGGCTTCTGTCTTCGGCTCTTGTTTCTTGGAGTGATGTGAGATTGCAGCTGCTTCTTCCTTCCAACTGCCAGTTGGGGGTGGGACTTGATTGGGTGGGGGCTTGGCTGTGTTCCGATTGGGTGGGGGTGTGTTCTCATTGGTAGGGGGCCTGGCTGTGTTTTGATTGGTTGGGGGGTTGGCCGTGTTCTGATTGGCTGGATTTCCTGCTGCCCGGCTTCAAGTTCGTGGTCGCGCTGCATCTCCATAGTGGGTGTCGGCCTGCTTCATGTATGGCTCGGAGGGGTTTGAAGTGGGCAGTGATGCAGCTGCAGTACAGCTTCTGGTCCATGGTCGTGTCTCATCTTCTGAGTGGGTGTGAGTCTGTTTTCTACGTGGAAGTGTGGTGGTGGCATCTTGTGTGGCTCTCATGGGTGTGGGTCTGGTGTCCTTCTTCATGTTAGGTACTCGTCTGTTCATGAGGGCGGGTTTCCAAATGGCTGGAAGGCGGGAGGTGTCATCTTGTTTGTTCATGCTGTGTGGGCGTTTTTCTATTTCTATGGCTTCTCTGATTATTCTGCTGTTGAAGTGTTCGGTTTTGGCGATAGTTCTGGTATTTTTAAAGTCAATTTCATGTCCTGTGGCTTTGAGGTGTTAGACCAGGGAAGAGGTCGTTTCTTCTTTTTTGATTGAGTTCTTATGTTCTTCAATGCGTGCATTTATTCTTCTGTTAGTTTGTCCAATGTATGTGGTAGGGCAGGCAGTGCAGGGGATTTCATATACTCCTTGGTTTTCTAATTCGATTTTGTCTTTGGGGTTTCTTAGGATGGTGGATATTTTTCTGTTTGTGCAGAATGCTGTTTTAATGTTGTGTTTTTGGAGGATCTTGCTGATTTTGTCTGTAGTGCCTTTTATATATGGGATGGGGGCTTTGCCGTTTGTATTTTTGTCCATTGTAGGTGAAGTATGTATTGGATAGGCAATCAATACAACCCCCCCAAGCACATCCTAGATCTGACCAACCACTGCCTATCCAATACATACTTCACCTACAATGGACAAAAATACAAACAAATAGAAGGAGCACCCATGGGATCACCCCTCTCACCTGTCATCGCAAACCTCTACATGGAACACTTTGAAACACAAGCTCTAGAAAAATACGACCACAAACCCAAACTCTGGCTCAGATACGTAGATGACACCTTCATAATCTGGCCACACGGGAAAGAAAAACTGAACAACTTCCTCACACACCTCAACAGCCTACACCCCAAAATACAATTCACCATGGAAACAGAAGCCAACAATCAACTTCCCTTCCTAGATGTCTTGGTATACAAAAGATCCAATGGCTCCCTAGGACACACCATCTACCAGAAGAAAACACATACAAACCGCTATCTACATGCACTCTCACACCACCACCCAGCACAGATCAATTCCGTAGCCAAGACACTCATCTCCAGAACAAAATTCTTAGCCGATGAACAACACCAAAAAACCGAACTACACACTCTCACCAACGTACTTACAGCCAATGGATTCCAAAGACACAAGATTACCCACCTAATCCAAAAAGAAACCCCAACCAAAATCCAAGACAGAGAACAAGAAAACGGCAAAGCCCTCATCCCATATATAAAAGACTTGAAAAAGAACTACAGAAAATGCCACAGAAAAAGGATATTAAACTAAAATTGGACATAATTAAACATAAAATGGGTCTAATAGTGCTAAACAGAACTATTTTGAGGATGCAAATAAACCAGGTAGATGGCTAGCATATAAATTGAGAAAGGAGAAAGAATCAAGGAAAATATCGCAGTTAATAGATGATCAAGGCCAAGTTTGTCATGATAATAAAGAGAAAAAGGAAATTATTCAAGATTTCTACGGGCAACTATATAAGCAAGAGAATATTGATGAGGAAAAAGTCAAATAGTATCTACAGAATGCTAATCTACCTAAGATA